TGGTATTGCCCCTTACCTCCTCTTCTAGGGTCCTTTGTTGGCGCTCCCAACTCCTACCCCTATGGCACTCTCCACTCGTCCTCCTCCTATGGGGGCACTCATGGGTACACTACTGAGCCAGGCTCTATGTCCATAGAGAGGCATAGCGTGGCTTGGCCCTGCCCCTCCACTCCCTCCTCACAGAATTTGATTGACAGCAGTACTAGCCAATGGCTCCCGCTACTGCCTCTGTGTCCTGTGAATGTGATAGCAGACTGCTGCTGATGGGCACAGCACTAGGTAGAAAGAGGAGTCAGTCAGGTAAGTAGTTAAGGATGGGCTGGGGGGAGCTTATCATGGAAGGTTTTTTGTTTTGTTTTGTTTTTTTAATGCAATGAATACATTAAAGTAAAAATTGTATGCCTTTAGAACCATGTTAACCTTTGCAATGCAGGTGAACCTCACTGCAAGGGTTGTTTTTATTGTTTTCCTGGAAATAGGCTTAAAATTTGGTTATGCTGATGGCACACGGGCATATTTTTCGCAAGGATTAATCGCTGCTACAAACCATTAATACAAGCATTTAAAAGTGATCTGTGGCTAGTGATTTATCCTGCTATAAATTGCTCTCCTTCAGCGATTGTAGCTATAAACAGTGATTTCTGCAGCATTTCATAGAAAAGCATTAAGAGCGATTGTTGCTAGCAGTTTTGCCACTGATTCAATCTTGATCGTTGAGCGACAAATGGCTTTAAAAAATGTCATTGTTAGTGATCCTATAGAAAAGAATGATCATTTTCATAGCGTCAAATCGCTGTTACAAAATATGGGTGGAGAAGTGGTAGGTGTAATCGCTGCTCTTGTGTCATCAGCCTTGAGGGGAAACTAAATTCACTGATTGAACTGTTTACCAAAGGCATGCCTCTGGTGGTGACTGTCACAGTTTTCAGTGTGCTTATGTCAGCAGTCAACCAAACTTTCAACCCTCGAAAGTATTTTGTCATAACTGGTGCAACACCTGGAAACTGTAGATCTACAGTAAATAAAAGCTAAAGCTGGCCATACACTAGTAGATTTTTTAACAAACTTTTGTACGAACATTGCTATGAAAATTCTCATCAGTACATTTGATGGCATGACAAATGTTTGAAAGTACCTCAAAAACATTTGCTTTTAACATTCAATTTTGGAGCGAATGGACTTTCCTGAATGAAAACCACATCCAGTGCTAGAAATTTTCTTCCCTGCTCCTTCAGATTTTCTCTTCACTGTGGTTGAAACCTAACATCTATCCGACCTCACTAAAGTTTAGAAAATCGAACAAACATTCTTAAGACAAGAATTTTCAAATTACATTCTACTAGTGTATGGCCAGGTTAAGATGCTTATATCTTCAGATGTAAAGGATAGGAGGCTTTCATTCTGTTTCAAAGTAACTATTGTAAACCTGCCAAAACAGTGGAGAACTGTCCCTGACCTACTTTGTCCACTGTACACGATCAAGCTATTTTGGAACATTATTTGGCAAGGAAATAGTGGCTGTTGTATAACATTAGCTTGAATGATGATGATAATAATAATAACAATAATAATAATAATACACTTGCCATTACACTATCTTTAAGTAAAAGAGCTTACATTTTTAATTCCAATGTAGATAGAATGTGGAGATATACATCTAAGTAACACAGTAATTTTGCCTGGTAAAAAGGGGAAGGCAGTAATGTCTTGTCCAATCATTGTTTGATTTCATGATTTTTGCAATTTCAAATGTGTGTAGTATAAATAGGGCTAATTCATATTTGTCCTGCTTTTTATGTAAATGATCCTCCTTGCAGCTTACATGATTTTAATTTTATAGATAACCAGTCTTGTGCTAAGTTCCATGAGCGTACAACCACCACATTGGTGTTTTGCAGAGAAAAGTCTACAGATTTATGTATATTGGCTTTCAATGAATTTTGCTTTTACAGCGTTTTGTGCATTGCACTGAACAAACAAACATACTGCCTAGGAGTTTGGGCATTTATAGTTTTCAGTATGAAATGATAGGAGATGCACCATATTCTTAAGCAGTGCTCCTATTTCTCTGCTGCTTCTCAGTAAGAGCAAATAGTGAAACTTTTATCTGCAAATATTTATACTCATACAATTAAATAACCATTTTTACACTTTGTGCATGATAATGTACTGCTGGGTTTATTTACTAAAGACAGACTAGGCACTTTTCAAGTGCAGTTGCACTCATTTTCCCCAGAGCTTAGTAAATGTGGTAAAGCTTCACTCTGTAAAGAATACCCAATCAGGTGTAAGAAAAATAAAAAAAGAAATAACATTTTTTCACATGATTGGATTATGGACATCAGCAGAGCTTCACCACATTCACTAAGTGAACTGCACTTGCAAAGTGCACAGTCTATTTGCCTTTAGTAAATCAATCTCTGTATGTCTTAGTATATAACTAAAACCTGTTACGTGAATGCTATTCACGTAAATTCTTAGAGCTTCACGTTACGTGAATGCTTAGAGCTTTGAATGTATATTTAAGTCACTCATTTCATAGATTTGAAGAGCTGATTCTTAGAGCTTGTTCTTGTGTGCTGGTTTAAACAATGGGCAAGTGCAGCCTGGATATTTTTTATTTATTACAGGTACTTGTATAGCGCTGTCAATTTTTATGCAGCGCTTTACATATATTGTACATTCACATCAGTCTCTAACCCTCAAGGACCATACAATCTAAGGTCCCTAGCTCACATTCATACATACACATACTAGGGCCAATTTAGACAGGAGCCAGTTTACCTCCCAGAATGTCTTTGGAGTGTGGGAGGAAACTGGAGTACCTGGAGGAGACCCACACAGGCACAGAACAAATATGAAAACTCCAGGCAGGTAGTGTCGTGTTTAGCATTCAAACCAATGACAATAGTGCTGCTAGTCGGAAGTGCTAGCCACTGTGCTCCCTATTGCCTCTGACTTTTGGGGTAGAATGACACATATTCATACCGTCTGAACACAAACACATACTGAATTGCTTGAAGCTAGCATTTGGATGGGGAAAAGTGGTCAGAGTTCAGAACAGTGAGCAATTTCTAAAAAACTTATTCAGTGAAGTAAAGTAGATTACTCATACATGCTCTTTAACTGTAGCTCAAAGGCTCGTGCAGATTTATATTATATTGAGAGCCCATTATACAATGGGGAAGCTTTTTAAGATGGGGGCTTTGCCAGATCCTACTTGTATTAAATGTAAACATAATCATGGGGATCTAATCCACCTACTTTGGTGCTGGCCTATACTACATACGTACTGGACAAGCATAGTAACCACCCTCATTGGGGTTTCAAACTGCTCTACCTGTTGATCCCAAGTGCTGTGTTTTAGGTATCCTTGGTGATCTACTTATTCCAGCCCCGTGGACTTATATTTATTGGATATCTTCGGATCCCCCTACACATGGTGAATGGCTTAAATGCATTTGTAGTATGCTCAGATTGGATTGCTTCATCTACTAGCACAAGGGCTGCCCAGGGAGATTTTATAAGATCTGCGGCTTGTGGCTGGACCCCCCGGGCTTTAGGCCTACTGACTTTATTTTAGATCTAATCTTATTGTGAGGGTGCATGTCCTAGCTCTTCTTTTATTGTTGATTTGTCCTCTTATTATTGCCATGATACTAATGGAGACTTTGTTTGCATCATGCCATATGTACTAATTATGCTGGACTGGTGTTATTGCTTTCTTGAGCTTATTTTCTCAATAAAATGCATTTTTCTTTTCTTGAGAAAGAAATAAGTAAAGTAGTGTAGCTCATAGCAAATGCTCTAGTTTTATCTCTCACAGGCCTCACTTCAGTAAAATGTAATGTAGTTTGTCACTAAGGGTTACCATACTCTTCACCTCTGCTTTGCTTTTTGCTACTACTCTGATGAATTATTCTGTAAAGAATTCCTGCTACTTGCTGCCTCTCTATTAGGGCAGCAAAACTGGATCTTGTTCTGCTACTACTCTGATTAATTATTCTGTAAAGAATTCCTGCTACTTGCTGCCTCTCTATTAGGGCAGCAAAAGCAAAAATTATTCTGGATCTTGTTCTGGGTAGTGTTCTGGGTAGTATGTTAAAGTATATGTAAACCCTCACCTTGTAAAACAACCCCTTCAGTTTAAATTAGAAATGAAAGGCAAAACATTTGTGTATACATATAAAAAAAATTCAAATGTACCTTTTTCCATTTTGTATGATTGCATCCCCTCTGTTCTCAGCAGCATAGAGAACTGGGGAGAAGAAACAGCAGCACACTAACCGTGAAGGGGGGGGGGGGGTGCCAGGACAAGGCTGATCTTTGGAGGAGAGCAGGCTGAGTGTTCCCACCATAACTAGAGGACTGGTCTTGGTGTGCTCTCCTGCTTATTGTGGCAAGTGTTTAATAGGACAACAGAGGGACTGACAGGAACACCAGGGATTTCACACAAAGGAAGCAACACAAAGAGAACAGGATATTTTTTCATACAAGTATGAAAGGCAAGATACATATCAGGAATATGAAATGTTGGGTTTACATATTCTTTAAGAGTAGCAAGTCATTTCAGTACAGGCATGGAGGTATATACACTTTAGTTTTTCTTTAGTTAGTCACTCTTTATCAAAAATATAATTTCTCATGTAAACCCTTGTGTCTATCTGCCCCCCTTCTGCACCTACATCTTGAAGCAATAATACTATTCCAAAAGTGTATTGTGTATATGTAAAGTATGTTACAAAGCCACTCTATACAGATTTGTTTTTTAATTTTACCAATTGCATGCACATAACAAAGAAAGGATGAGCAAATATTTAACATTTTAAAATATTTCCTTTTGGAATATAGTAAAAAAACATGTAAGCTATAGTATAGAAGATATAACTTCATAAATAAGAAAACCTACCATTCAAACAACTATTGATAAAAAAGCAAATATAGGACAGAGCTTTACTGTGTAAGAGTTGAACATTGACTTTTTATTACATTTTCTAGGTATGGAGACCAAAGGATATCACGGCTTCCAGGAAGGAGGAGATATGGAGAGGCGATGGGGACAGGTGCCACAGTCTATGGAATTCTCCTCAGCGTCCAGGCAGCAAACCTCTGAGAACACTTACATGGAAATTGTAAATGTAAGCTGTGTACCCAGCACTTTTCCACAAAATCTCACAGAAAGAGAGGAGAAAGAGAAGCAAGATCTTCTCCCTTGCCTTCAGCAAGATAATCAGTCTGGTGTTTTGGCCCAAGAACTTAAGAGTGATCTAGAGTCAAAAGAACTCTCTGCAACGGTAGCGGAGTCTATGGGATTGTATATGGATTCTGTACGAGAAGCTGATTTTGCTTATGATCAGCAAAACCAGCAAGGAATGATTGGTCCTGGAAATACTTATGAGAATGTGGAACATCTTGTTAAATTTTATAAGCCGGCCTCTTCTGGCACTTTTCCCTTAAACTGCCAGAATCAAACTGTAAGTTCTATTCTAGAAGCTGACAATTCTGTGAATGGTAAACTTAACAGTAACACCTTAAGGAGCCCATCTTCTTGTAATGAGAAGAGTCCAGCGACTAACAGCCCCTCCAACATGGCCCTTTCTCTTTGCAGCCCCACTGGAATTAACTCTGTTTCCTCTACTACATGTCCATCCAACTTTGGAAATTTTGCAGTCCACAGTCCAGTCAACCAAGGAACTCCTGTTCCATGTTCACCAAATATTGACAATAGGTGTTCTATTTCTCATAGTCCTGCACATACTAACACGGCTGAATCCCCCATGTCTAGCCCATTAAGTAGTTTGAGATCACCCATTTCAAGTCCACCAAGTCACTGCAGTATAAAATCCCCAGTATCAAGTCCATTGAATATTGCAGTGAGGCCTAATGTGTCTAGTCCTGGAAATATAAACACACGATGCTCTCTTTCCAGTCCTTCCAATGCGAATAACAGGTCCTCTATTTCTAGCCCTGCTGCAAGTTCCATGGGTTCTTCTATCTGTAGTCCAGCACACAACACTTTGGGGTTTTCCTCTGCAGTTTTGTCTACAGATTGTAGAACTGATACCAGTATCGGTACTGAAACTAAAGAAAAAGGCACCCAACAGCTCTTGTTTCCAAAAATGGAAGTACTGGAGAATGAAACTACTGACAGCAGTACACAGAGCTTGGTGAAATTCATCAAGCCTGATCCAGATGGGGCTTTTATTGACTCCTGTTTTGGAGATCATGGTAAAGTTGCTTCCGATACATCTTTTCCAATCTCTATAAAACAAGAGCCAGGTAAAAACACTTGTTCTAATTCTCTTTTTAAAAGCACCTCATCAGGAAATCCTTTTCCATTTATGGATGGCTCATATTTTACCTTCATGGATGATAAAGATTACTATTCCCTTTCTGGAATTCTTGGACCACCTATGTCATCATTTGTTGGCAGTTGCGAAGGTAATGGCTTTTCTGGTCAAGGGCTCTCCATGGGGATTAAACAGGAGGCGGACGATAGTGGTTTTTACCCAGAGAACACTATGCCTTCCTCAGCCATTGTTGGTGTTAACTCAGGTGGACAGTCATTTCACTACAGAATTGGAGCTCAAGGAACTATCTCCCTGTCTAGGCCTGTCAATCGAGACCAGCCTTTCCCACAATTGAGCTCATTCCCTTCCGTTGGCTCATTAGTTGAGAGTTGGAAAACTCATTCTGAATTGTCTCAGAGCACTTTGTCATCCAGAAGAAATGATGGTTTTCCTGGTCCAGGATACATTCCAGAAAACGTGTCAAGGTGAGTAAGAAAGTAGTCACGTTGTGACTACACCAGACAGGAGATGGCATAAGACTGTAATTGCTATATATTTAAACTAGAGACTCAGGAAATGAATGGGTGTGACCTATTAGAAACATTGATAGGATTTGTATTATTTTATTATTGCAAGAATTGTTGTTCTATGTACTGGAATGTTAAAAGATTCCATTTTAGATTGATTATAGGTGTTTTTGTGGTGTTTCATGGTTCTACAGTTTGCTACTGATATGGTGTTTTTATGTATGGGATATTCTTGGCACATAAGCATGATTTAAATTAACAGACCAGTCTAATTTACAAACTGATTATGTGTAAAAGAATGGTTTTATATCTTGATCAAAATTCATTCAATAATCTGGCCAACAGATGTGGTAATTATATGGCAAGCTCAGTTATTGTTCTGAGAGTACAGAGGTTCTGCTTGGGAATCAGGAATTAGAATTTGACAGTTCACAATATAAAGATCACATCACCCACTTCTGTGGCTAAATCAGGTTAAGCTGTCAGTTCATTTCCTGTACTGCCGGTCTTGCCCTCATGTTCTTACAGTTGTATAACTTGTGACGTACATGATACTGGCCAACATTACATAGGCCTTATTAACATACTTATTATCTGTTAACTCCCCAGTTACTCCCCATATCGTTACATTTTTAAGGAGGCAGACTGCGCAATATAGATTATAGGTTACGTATTTGATATAGGAAAACGTTTTTAGCAGAAATGAAAACAAATAAACTATGTGTCACTAAAACTTTGGCAATAGCTTTTAAATTTCAAACAAGTAAGCTTATTTTTAAAATCAAATCTTAACTAGGCAGACACCGAAAATCCTGTTACTTGTTTTCAAATTTAAAAAAATTGGTAAAAACAGCTTTGTTGTTATGATAAGTAAAGCTAATATGTCACTTCAAAAGCTTTACCTGTCAGCTTTACTTTCCTTCGGGATAAAGTATTGAGCAGTGACTTTACTATCATTTGAAGTGTTTTCTTGTAAAATGTCATGAAGATTATTCCGTGTTGCATCCAATGACTTTACCTGATGTCGTTTTTACATTGTGAATCACACACAAGTCTACTAAGTGGATATGCTGTGTTACGAATTGGTAATCTATATGTTCATTTCAAAGCCTAACACCGAGTTAGTAATAAAAATGTAAGCATTGTCAAAAGTAGTAAAGTCTATTGCAGTTAACATTTCTGTGTCACTTGCCCATAGAAACTTAAGTTAACGTGTTAATGTTTAACATGTCCTGAAATATAAACTGTAACTCCACAAGCCATCAGTAAACACGCCACATACATCTGGTGTGCAGCAGCCATCCATGCTGATCACGTTATGTGACGATTACTTTGTACTGCGCTCTCTTTAGGAGAATGATCAGTTTCCCCATGTAATCTGCAGCAGACACATCAAAACAACTTTTTTGTTTTATTTACTCTGAGATGAAAAAGGAATTGATCCGGATATATACAATGAGTATGACAATATTCTACTAACTAACAGGCAGTCAACCTTTTTAATATTTTTGTAAACAATGCACATTTATAAATACTGAACCAGCTGCCTGTCTCACAGGATTGGAATGAGCTGACACATTTACATATTAAAATTCTCTCTGTCATTTTTGGATTACATTATAATGGAGTTACAATAATATACAGTTGTATTCAACATACTGCTGTCTGTATTTCAGTTGTTAGGCTCCATTCATATTAGGGTGTTTGAAATCGTGGGTGGAATTGCTGTGAAATGAAAATGTGGTGTGACAATGTGAAAACGCGCAATTCCATTTGGAGATGCCATTCATTTCAATGGCATCTGAAAATGCGGGGTTGTTTTGCCTCGATCGTGGTGCATTTTTCAGCCCCGACAAAATCGCAGGATGTGTGATGCCCAAAAATGATTCTGGAAGCGCTGGATTCCGCCCACGATTTGAAACGCCCTAATGTGAATGGAGACTTATTCTGAACAGAATGGTTAAAGAGAAGCAGGAATCAGCAGGTCTACCTGGCAATGAGGAAGGTGTGTTGTCATAACAGCCAATAAGATTCTTCTGTTAATGTTCTAATGAGCAACAGAGACATAGTAGCTGAAATCCCACTTTTCGTTATGAGCAACCACCAACACCCATGTATTTCCCTCCTGATGTTTTCAACAGAATTTTGAAATACCTCTAGTTGTATTGATACGAGCCATGTTAACTTTTTTCATATTTAGTACCTGTAACATACATAGTAAAGCCGAACTCCATGCAAACAGATAAGTACATCGTTGAAATGCACACCGCGGAGCAGTTTAAAGACTCACCTGGCAGACAACATGGCAAAGTCGTTGATGTAAGCTGCAGAATGACCAAATGTGAACTTGGTCAAGAAGCCAGCCCTTATGTCAATGACGCTTGGGTGTTCACATACTGCACATCATTTAAAAAGCAGTGGAATGGCTGTGCACACTTAAATTCATGTTTACAAAGCACAGTGACAGTGATTTAAAAATGTGCTTTGTGCTTTATCAACTACCGAACTGCTGGTGGAGCACAAAAAAAATTAATGGGGGAAAAAAAAAAAAAGAGGGGAGATTCATGTAAGTCACATGATCAGCTCCCTGTGCTACATTAAGCAAAAAGAACTCAACAGCAAACAACCCCTGACCTCTGACCAAACAGCACAGCCTGCATGAATTGGTCATTTAAATACAGTCCAAAAAATCGAAAGAATGGTTACTGCAATAAAAGACTCTGAATACTTACCTCTCAGTTGGGCAGCAAGTCCAATTTTCTCTGTCTTCAAGCTTTAGAACCTCTGGCAGAATCTTCACATACAACACAACTCTAATGTGTGCGATGCCTGCTTCTCCACTGTGCCCAATGATCCTTCCCGCTGGTCCCTATATTATTACTGTGTTCATAACCATCTGATACTCCCGGAAATGTTGAATGCTGAAGACCTTGCCTAACGCTGCAGTGGAGTTTGGACTTGGCGCCTTCCAGAAAAGTACATATTACGAGTGTTCTTTTGTAGGAACCATTTGTTAGGATTTTTTGGAGGGAAAGAACAGTCAATGTGAAGATCAATATGTACTTAAAGTGCCACTGGCATACACCCAGAAGGAGGAAATTATATGTGCAAATCCCATTATGAATAAAAAAGTATACTTTCTCACCTATGCTTTCCTGCATGATAAAAAAAAAAGTCTGCCAGTGAATTTATTTTTCTTGCATGTCTTTAATTTGGCACATATGAAACTACATGCCATAAAAGGTAAAATACAAGATTACGCTGACAAATGTTTGATTTCTTTAACATTATATTTTAATGCATAAAATAACCCTGTTATGTGAAGCCTTACAAATAATACAACAAGAACACCTAAACAGCTGTATGAAGATTCCTGTCAGTTACAGTATATCGTTAGATGGAGTTGTACATTGACACTAGAAATAGTCAAATTTACATTTTGATCAGCTTTGTCATTGTTTGTGTCATTATGAAAATGTGTATTTCTAGTCAGACTAAATAACTGTGACATGGTTGCCCAGAATTTTCTGAGCTTGTTTGCTTTCAGAGGTCATTTTAAATAAATTCTATCCAGAAAGCTGTCAAATTTTAGATCAAGGGCTCTATCTGATCATTGGCAGCAATCTCCTTGATATATTGGATTGAAGAAGAATGTTAATTCCAGTTATTTACCAATGCAGAGGTGAAAGGAGATATATTTTCTTCCATCATTTAGTGATTACAATAGTATTTTCTTAAAGGCCCACTAAAATCAAATTCTTGTCACCTTGGAGCAATAATTATAATGTATATAAATGTACTAAGGCTGTTATTTATAGTGGAGAACCTATACCATTAGAAATGGGGGGGGGGGGGGGGGTGATTTTGTGGGTGTTGGCACAAGTGGGTATGGTCAGTAGGATTTAATTTTGAAAATCTGGTAACTATACTGTAGACAGATTTAGATTGTATACACAGCAAGACCTTAAAGTATAACTAAAGGCAGTTTTTTTTATTGTTGTCTGTCTCTGTTTGGGAGATTCATTGAAAGTGAGGATAAAACTAAAATTTTAAGCTGTTAACAGAACAGGAATGTAGTTGAAATATTCCAGTGGGGACACTTGTTCCTATGACAGCTGTCTCATATTGGAAAGATATTTTACCACTTCTCCTTGAGTCTACAGGACAAGAAGTAAAGGGAAATCTCATACAAAAGTTTCCTAGCGCACTTACCAGCTAGCCTGCAAAAAATCTCAATCTGACCCTGTCTAACAGTTCATGTTAAAAACAGAGGGTTTAGTCGCATACATTTGCAAATATATGTGGAAGCTGCAGTGCCTATGCCAAGGCTAATCTGTGTATTCCAGTCCTACCTCTATATTTTTGAGAGTCTCCAAGTTGGAGCACATATAGCAATGGATAAATTAAGGACAGGTTTACCTGGAGGGAGCCCGCTCCACCTTAAAGGCACAGGGAGACACTGGATGCCCAGCAAGAGTACAATGATAGCTGAAGGCATCCAATGTTACCCCTTAAGGAGACACAGAAGGCAAAAAAAAAAAACCTGACCGTGATTTTAACTCTTCCCTACTCTATCCAAAATGGAAAAAAGGCTTTATATATATATATATATATATATATATATATATATATACCGTATTTTCCGGCGTATAAGACGACTTTTTGACCCTTGAAAATCTTCTCAAAAGTCGGGGGTCGTCTTATACGCCGGTATACGGCATGCTGACACATTTTAGGGGGGCGGTGCGGTGCCGCCGCCGCCCCCCCCCCCCTTCCAACAGAAGTGAAACTAAGTACAGGGGTGGGCAGGGGCTTCTGTTTCTTACCTGGCTCCGGTCCCACGACGATCCGGTCCAGGAAGCGCAGCTGCTCCTTCCTTCAGTTCGGCCACTGGATATTCGTGCGGCTGCTCGGCTCCGCCTCCTCACCGGTGATTGGCCGCCAGAACTGTAGCTCAGGAAA